AGGGCTCCACAATCAAAGTCAAGCTGAAATTTTGAAATGGACTTATGTGGGAATACTTGGAGCTTTGGCTTTCGTAGTTGTAGTACTGGAAATTTTCAGATGCAAAACTACGATAATGCAACAGTTTGTACGATTGACTGGCAGCATGTTCACTAATTCACCTTAAATTATGAATCAGAGAAGGAAGATGGTGAAACCAGAGCAAGGGAGAAGACATGATTCTCCGGGGGGAACAGGAAAAGCTCAACGTTTTGACATTTATGAATTATCCAAGATAATTCTCAAATGGATTGAAAAGTTAGTAACATGTCATTCATTTTTTTTTTTGTTTATTTGATGAAATTTTATATGAGACCTACCCATCTTTAGTTAGTAGAGCCAACATAAGATTTAATTCAATATAAAAAAAAAATTAAAAATGTCATAGAATCTGTTGTTAACTTTCCTTGCTAATTTACATAAAGTTAATAAAGAAAGGAGAGAAAATAAATAAATTGATAGCTATTAGTAGTCACCTCGTTTTGGTTAATAATAATAGACAACAAGGCCTTCTTGCCCATTATTATTATATCGTTGATGTGAAGGTACGTAAGGTACAACAAGTATTGCAATGTTGTCATAAAATTAAACCAGCCAACTCCATAATTTTGCAGATTGGAATGGGATAGTTCAAATGCAGAAGCCAACTTATTTAACTGATGTTGAACGAAGATACTCTAAGAAGATTTTATCCTTATTGAACACATTTTTTATTCAACTCTTATGAAGAGTAACGTTAGTGCTATAACTTCATGGACAGCGATCATTTGCAGTTATGTCATGCAAAGTTTGAAATTCTAAATTGTGTTCCGGATCCAACATCATTTCCTCAAAATAAATAAATAAATGAAAACTTGACACCTTAAAAAAACACATCTGTTTCTATGTCATTGATTATGTGTGAGATTATCTCTTAAATAAGCATACACTGAGCTTCCTTTTGGGTCTGTAACAACATCACACCATAACAGATGACTCGTTACGGGCTAAATAATTCCTCGGGTAAATTACACATTACCCCCTTTCACTTGTGTCATGTTTCAAAATACCACCTTATACTTTACTTTGTTGTAATTAATCTTCTTAAATTATATGATTTTAACAAATAAGCATATCTGTTAAAATTCCTTCACACTTCGTTAATCGATCACATGCTTCTCACTTGGTATTAATTCAATTCCTTTCCTTTTGAAAATTACCCCGTTTTTACAAAGGTTACGGAGCCCTAACCCCTAACCCATTCTCACCTCCATCGTTTGTCTAAAGTAAAGGGTGGTCTTGCTTGGTTTCGAAAGGTTGGAAGTAATTCCCTGCCCATCAAAGAAGCCTCCATTGTATTTTGGTTTAGGGTAGATGGAAAACAAGTTTGGGAGATATTCTGGTTTTTATTTTAATTTTCTAAGCAATCATGTAGTTTGATAAATTGACAACTTGTATGAAGGCCTTGTTGCTTCAATGTATGAGACGATTTTGAAGAGATTCATATTGCAATTTGAATAGTGGTTGGTGATTTCAACCTTCAACTGAATTCTGCCAAGATTGTGGTGAATGACTTCAGCTAGTTAGCAACCACAGTTTCAATTTATTTATGAGACTTAAGCACAAGTTGTAACTTTAACACTCTTGTAGAGATTTTTTATGGTATTAATCTTTTTAGCACATAGGTATTTTGTTTTGACTGCCTTATACCTTAAGGCTTAAATCATGAATGAAATCTGACACGCAATGTACTCTTGCATATGTATATAAGTCTTATATTTTTTATCAAGAAGTGATTGCACAAGATGTAACTCTAACACTCTTGCTTTAGGAGTCCACTTCCCATGGATGAAGTTCATGAGTCACTGACCTCAGTTGTGTAGCCAATATGGATGACAAACAAGTTAATAGGATGGAGCAATGTAAAATCACTGCATCAATTAGTCTCAGCAAAAAATTTGCTAATTAACTAAAAGTTTGTTGCAGATGTTCAGGCTTGTGGAATAAGATTTCTACAATTAACATGATATATCTTTGCATTTATGTCTCTTAAAAATTCAAATGTTCATGCTATATTCTTTCTATGCGTCTTACATCCAACTATTTTATGTCCAGTTAATCAACCAAATTGTTGATTCTTAATTCATCAATTTAAGGAGCATTTTTTTAGCTGAAGAATCCTTGTTTCAGTAACTTGCTCAAACAATTAAATTTATTTGGTAATATAAATGGTTTATCATATTTCAATTAATAATTATAAAAATTACCCATCTGATAGAAAGAACTTCCATCTCACTTAGGTGAGCTCCTTCTTTACGACCAATTACTACTGTTTGCAGATCGAAGGGTTTTTTTTTTTTTTTGAATCTGATTCACATGACTCACGTGGAAATAAGTTCCTGGATGTATAAAAAATTTCTTTTGTTGGTTGAATGAACATATTTGAGAAGACAGGGAGGTGAGATGAGAAGAAAATAAAAGGGAGAAGAAATGGAGGTGAGATGAGAAGACAACCAAAGTCAAAAGAGATGACATAAGTCATAAATATTCTTTTAACATTGATGCGTTCAACCCGAAGCACGTGATGGATTAACGGGGTGAGGAGAAATTTTAACAGATATGCTTTTTTGTTACAATCACATAATACAAGGAGCTTAATTGTAACAATGTAAAGTACAAGGTGGTCTTTTGAAAGTGATCCAAGTATAAGGGGGTAATGTGTAATTTACCCTAATTCCTCTATTAGTAATCAAATGCGTCTCACGTGGACTGACGTAGGCCATATCTTATTATTATGTCATTAAAAATATATTATATTTATTACGTTGTATAACCTTTAGTCAATATTTTTTGTTTACATTTTAAAACTAGGGTTGGCAAAACGGGCCAACCCGATCCAACCTGTGTTCAACCTGAAAAAAATAAGCCGAGTTAGGGTTGACTCGAAAAATAAACGAGTCAGAAAATTCAACCCAACCCAACTCAGCCCGAGTCGGGTTAGGGTTGGCTCGAAAAAATAGAAAAATAAAATAAAATTTCATTGATGCTATAACTTCTAAATTTTTTTTCTAAATTATTAATTCATCCAATACAAAGACATTATACAGATAAACCATAGAAAATTTTACATTTGGACTTGGATTTATTGGCAGTTAGCACCACATTCACACTGTCACACATACTATAAAAAAGGACCTTAATGCACGGTTTTGGACTTATTGGCAGCTGCAGGGTATTTTCGTTCGGGTCTTTGGAATTGAGATTTTAGATTTTAGCTTTCCACTTTACCTTCATTAATTTTTATACTTTTATATTTAAAAAAAAAAACCATAACCCGCGAGCCAATCCGTTTGACCCGTGGGTTGACTCAATTTTTTTCGAGCTGAAACGAGTCGGGCTGACTTGAGTTAATAACTCATTTTCCCTAACCCAACCCAGCTCATTTTAGCCGGGTTACGAGCCAACCCGATGGATTGGCTCATTTTTGCCAAGCCTAGTTAAAGCTGTTATCACAGGAACATAAGAATTATATTACACAAATTGATTATTATAAAGACATGTTTAGTCGATTTAAAAATATGAGATCTAAAGTAAATTTAGTATAAAAGTATAAAAATTTAAGGAGTAATTTTGCTCGAGGCAATCCTCGTGAGTGACGAGATGGAGAAGAGTTTTATAGATATCTATTGTCAGGGGAAGTAAAGCAATGGAAAGCTGAAGCTCTGGTGGAAAAACATAGGTTTGCTGATATAACACTTCTAGAGGCTGAGATAAAAGCATCACAGAATCAAATGGTGGTGTAATTAAGGGAGGGAGACATAAGGCTCAGGAAAGTAACCACTTAAAACATATTACTTAATGAAAAACAAATACAAGAGACGATTACTTTGGGTTCCATTCTAAACCATTCATTCTGCCCGTGAATCATTGGCCTTTCTTCATTTCACATTGCAATGAGAAGTAGATTTTAAGACTAAAATGCCACTATTTACTTAGGCCGGTTTTGGTTTTGATTTTTTAACTTCTTTCTCTATCCTTACCTTGCGTTCCCATACCCATTAATTAGCAGTTGACACCATCATAACAAGCAATACCTTATAGGCAGGAGAGGGATGTTATGTCTACTATGTTGTGGCAAACGAACCTAAGCCACATGCAGATGTTTAATGCACAGTACTCCTCTCCATACTTCATTTAAGGCACATGACCAATTATTATTCTGCAGAAATACTGTGAGTCTTTCTTCAACAGAACAGGACACGTGATACAATACCTTTTTTAAAAGAGAAAGAGACTTGACAGAACTGGCTTATCCGGATTTAGCAGACTATAAACATAATAACCCATTTCAATTAAGACTTAATCTCAGAATCTTCAACAGTATTTTCTGAAGATATATGGGCAAGGAAAGGATTTTAATTTTATTGAAGGAAGAAGATTAAAAGGGAAGGGAAGTGAACAAAGGATAGTTTCTCAACTCTTACTAGAGTATTCGAAGGTGAAGTGAGGGACTAATAAAACTTCCCCTTGATTCTAATATTTGGAAAAGAGAGGGGACTGCAAAGTTAGAAACAAAGGTTTAAAGGGTACTTCCAGTTCATTACCCTTCCCAAGTTAGAAACACGTGATAATAGAATGGTAGTTCCAACCATATTTGTCCAATTATCTTTATAGCGCCACTTCAACAGTCTAGCATGATGGCCCCGCAACAACTGACTTCATTCCCCAATCATTTCATCATCGAGTAAAAGCAGAATCACTAGTATTCTTTTGCTTAAGTTGAAATGGACTCAAATTGAAAATGAAGAGGGGTTATAAAAGCAAAACGAAAAATGCATACCGTCAATAGAAGGGCCAACTTTATAGGCTAGGACTTTGCCACTCTGTAGCCAACCAATTACGTAGTCTGCCAACCGTAACCTTCATAGCGTAATCAAGGCAAACATCAATAAATTTTCCACATGCTCCAAGTCTACTCCTGCAGAGGAAAAATGGAAACATATTTTCCTTTGATTCTGCTTGCCACAGTGGTTATGGCGAAGCCACTATCTTTTGGGACAAAAGAAAACCAACTTTCTTACAACTACTACGAGTTTTCATGCCCAAACTTGGAAACTGTAATCAAGAGTGAATCGCTAAGCTTATTCTTGACAGATGCTACTGCACCAGCAGCATTTCTCAGGCTCATGTTTCATGACTGCCAAGTTCAAGTAATTGTTTTTCTTCTCTCATTCTGTCCCTTATTTTCTTCTTAGCACTGGACTATATTACAGTTAGACTTACCGTTCACTTCTGTTCTAGCTCCTTTTCATGCTTGCTTCACAAACTAGCAGCACTGTAAAACATTTCAAGACAAACCTAACCGTGGTTTTATATTATTCAAGGTCTATAAAGCCTCAGTTTTGGTATTTATTTTCATACAGGGATGTGATGCCTCAATTTTGTTGGACTCCAACTACCTTACTTCCAGCTCTGAAATGATTTCTTCGAGAAACTTTGGCATCAGAAAGCGGGACACGATTAGTCACATAAAGTCAGTATTAGAAGAAGAATGTCCAGGACAGGTGTCTTGTGCAGATATCATTGTATTAGCTGCTAAGGAATCAGTGTCTTTCTCTGGAGGACCCCATATTCAAGTCCCGCTTGGAAGAAAAGACTCTAGAAAATGTAGTTTCGAGGAGGCTGATGCTGAGCTTCCTTCACCGACAATAACGGTTGATGAATTTTTATCCATTTTCATGTCTAAAGGAATGAACATTGAAGAATCTGTTTCCATTTTAGGTAATGCATGCCAACCATAAATAAGTAAGCTAAGTTTATTTGGGAAGGCTTAAAACATTGAAGAATCTCTCTGTTACAGAATATAAATTGCCCATTCTGATACTAAGGAGTTTAAAACTGTTAACCGAAAGCCAAGGCCAGGAATAGTTTTTGATATGATGATATTATTACTATTGACAGGAGCGCATACGCTAGGTGTTGGACACTGCTTAAACATTGCTGGCAGATTGTATGATGCACGGCCAAGGGACAACATGGATTTTGAGTTTGAAGCCTCACTAAGAATGGCATGCCCAACTGAGATTCCTCTGACAAACCTCACATTTGTGCCTAATGACATGACCCCCGTGATATTTGACAACCACTATTACCGAGACATTATAATGGGGAGAGGCTTGTTTGGTATTGACGCAAGCATTTCTAGACATCCCCGAACTGCACCCTTTGTCATGCGGTTTGCTATGGATCAGAACTACTTCTTCGAGGCTTTCTCATCTGCATTTGTTAAGCTATCTTCGACCAATGTTCTCACAAATGGGCACGGTGAAGTCCGAAGGCAATGCAACCGGGTAAACTAATGGAGGGAATGTTTTGTTTTGTAATATCTTCTCTAAGTATATATAAGGAAAATTACAATGCATGTACAACTACAAGGCTTATCCAACGCATATGCCGTCTAACTATAAACCCTAAAGATTTATCCACAAACGGTTTCTCCATTATCATCTTTCAAGTTTAACTGTATGGTAAGATGAAAATATAAATAATCTGTAGAATTAAAAAAGATTAACGCTTTTCACCCAAAAATAAAATAAAAATAAAATAATGCTGCTGCCAAATGCAGAATTAAAGCAGGCAAGAGGTCCACTCAAATTGACATTCCAATACAGATATTGACATTATGCTTATGTCCCTTTCTCCGTGCATGTGCTTGCGTTTTATATCACTATCTAGCTAGTAAGGGAAAGTAAAAGCTAAACTTTTAACAAGCTTCAAACTTTAGGGCAGGGACCCCACAATTTCTAACCTGTAGTTGGAAGCTTCAAACCCCAATATCGTGGGTCATTGGAATAGAAGGTCATTCTTCCACCTTTTCTCCGTTGTCACTTCTCGCGATTTCGGATCCATCGATTCTCCCACGTCCTCTCCCAACGATGGTCCCCTTATCTTAGTCACTATCCAACGTTGCTCTCTCTTCAATTTGTAAAAACCAAGTTAGGGCTGAAGGTGGATTTCTCACGTACTCTGCACGTAAAAAAACCATTTTATTCCACATTTGAAATTCCAAGACATCCTTATGTCATGATCATTTTTGGATGCAAGTTTGACTAAAGGCCCGGATAAATAAGGCTTGATTCCGGATGACAGAGCTTTTTTTTTTTTTTTTAGAGATGTTCCAATCGATTCATCGCTTCGCGACTAGTTCCACTCGAGACTGATCTCAGGATTAAAATTTTAAATCTCTTTCAAAAATAGTATTGAAGAAAATCAAACACATATACTCACCTGCTCAGTTATATGATGCCAGCTGAATTACAATCAATTAATATCAGAACACGTTTTCACATGCGCCAAGATACCCTCCGCTTTTGTTATAAGGGTTTTATTACTCTCATTCAACATAAGATAGATATCTTATGTTGTAGAGAGAAAATAGGTGGGTCCCACCATTACAAAAAAAAGAAAAAAAAGAAAAAGGTGGGGCACGAAAATCGAAGAGAGAGAAAATGAGAGATGATATCTCATGTTGAAGGAGAGTAATATTTCCCTTGTTATAAACTTATAATGTTTTAAAATAAATTGGTTACGCATGTAGCGGGGCATCAAATGATCAAAGCTAGTTGGAAACCAATTATGGCTTTTCTATTAAGTTGGAAACCAATTATGGCAGACGTGTTACAACGAGATAAAACATAGCATATAAATATAACGTAGAATAAGACAGATTAAATAGTAGAACGTTTCACAAAAGGGAGTGATTCTCTCTCCGTATCAAACACTACCTAAGTTATGCACTTCTTAAAATTGAACATAAATTATTAACAGTCATATGGGGTGAATACTTGGCTTTGCTGTCACTTTCTATCCAAAACAAACTTGACAACTCCAGCCAAAGCTACCTTCTTGGGAGTGGATGCAGGGCCGTTACTAAGTTATGCGCTAAGAAAATTGAAGGTTGACTGTTGCTTCCTGTAGAAATGTACACAGTATGAAAGTAGCTACTGTACACCAACCTTGATGTTTTTATGGTCCAAAACAACATTCAAGATCTTGCCCGGAACGTAAATTCTCTTTCTGACAGATTGACCTTGCAAATACTTGGATAGCTTTTCATCCCTAGATGCTAACGCGAAAGCATCGTCCTCTGTACATGTTTCTTCAACCTGGATAGTACCTCTTGTCTTGCCATTAATCTGAACTGGGAGGACTATCTTGGAATCCTTTAAGTAAGCAGGATTTGCCTGCACTTACAACATATAACAGACATGGTTACTGTTTAGTGTATAATATGGAACTCAGTACACATGATTAAAACTCAACCTTGGTAACATTTCACTATGAAGAATCCAAACTTTTTCTGCTACTTTAAGTATCAAAGCCATGGATCTTCTTCACAACCCCAGTCCGGGTATTTAAATAGTAGCCAATGTAAATGACTTATATTTCATTATATTAGCTCAACTCAACAACTCTAAAGGAAAATTAGGCTAAAAACAGCAATAGTTTATCATGAAAAGTTGGGGGAAAAAAAATTATAATCGCATGAAATATTGGCTTTTTTACCATACAATTGGAAGCAGGAAAGTGTTTTCCACTTACGTGTAACTTCCAAATTATTTACTTCTAAAGTTTAAATTCTACAGTAACTAGGAGTCAATGGCATGACTTGTAGCAAGTCATAGCACACAGCCAGAACTAATAGCGAATGGTTGGATCAGGATCCTCTCATCTTCAGTTCCCTCATCATTTCACCATGGAGCATTTTTCTTAATGTACAATCACTAAATTACATTGACAACACAATAATTTTGCAGATGGAGGAATATAGTCTGGTCATGCATACATCAATTAACTAACTACTAAGTTCTGCACAGGGATGGATCCACATTTGCACTCACTCATTTTTTTAAACTTTCATTTTCAGAGCAATTGCTCCACTCAATTTAAAATATTTTCATTTATTATATATAAAAAAGTTTCTCTCCCACAAGCTTAAATGAGAATCTGTAACTTAGTAATTATTTAAGTAAGAATGCATAAATATATTTTTATATTTCAATTTTTCTTGTATAAATTTCTAATTTATTTTTTAAATTTCAAGCTAATGCATGTTTCAAATTTATTTTGTTTTCTTAATTTTAATTAAAATCAACCATAACATAAAACTTAATTTAATCTTTTCTTAAAATTCCAAGCAACTTAAAATTTTAAAATGTTCAAAATAACCAAAAAAGTTATTCCTGAATCCTAAAGAGAAACGACTTGTTGCAAATCATATGATTTATAACTTTACATATCATAAACACACACACTTGCTATAAGTTGTGGCTGTGAGCTATGACTTTCTGAAAGTTGTGCCACTAATGCTCAGCCACAATTTGTTTTGTGTTAGTGTGAAATTTATACCTACGGTAGAAAAACCTGAAATATTTGTTCTGTTAATCGGTGGAATTTTCTATTTCTTTTATCGATAGCATACTATTTCCAATAACTACAGAACAATATTCTACGGTGTGAAATGTCTGTGTCAGGTCATTGGAATAGTATGCTATCGATAAAAGAAATAGAAAATTAAGACGCACAGAACCTGACAAGTAATTAAAGAGTAGGATTGGTTTGGTATGGACCCAAATTCATACCTTAGGGAAAGGCTCGTAGGCCAATGATTTTGTGTGCCCAAGCCGAGACCATAGCTCCTCAGCCATGTGTGGTGCATATGGTGAAAGCAGCAAAACAAATGCCTCAATAACTGATCTTGGATGTTTATCCCACTGAAAATATACGCCCAAAAAAATATAGAGATCAAACTGATTCTCTGTAACAATAGGTGGGGAGGAATTTACTGCTTATTAATAAGAAAAGGATACTGAATGAAAAATATAGAGAAGTCTAGTTTTCTAAAAACAGACCCAGAGCAACTAAATACAGTGTAAAATGTCACCCCAAATAGGCTTGGGTTTCAAAGTTTCTTTCCATAAATAAATCCAGTCCCAAATCTTAGGTGACATTTGGTTTGCTAGAATTAGGGTCAAAGGAATGGTAATGGAATGTAAATGAGGCGAAAGTGTGAATGATATCAACTACTGAAATGAATGTCATTTCGTCCAAATAAGATAATATCATTCACTACAAATTGGAAGGAATGGTCATTTCAAGGCCATTCCTGGAATCATAAGTTCACTGCCACCACCATTGCTACAGCCCCCGCATTGCAATTGCCATCACCACACACCATCAATTGACACGCTGCTTCCTCCACTGCCACTATATCAATACCATACCACCACCATCCACTAACCCTGCTGGCGCCGCAATGACCATCTCTGCCATTGCCACAACCACCATTAACTATTATGTAAGAGTACTGTTGCCATTATGCAATTTTTCTTTTCCATTCCTGCTTAAAATCCAGCATATCAAACATTGAAATGGAAAGGAATAGTCATTCCATTATCGACCATATCAAATGACACCTAACTTCCCCGCCCTAGAAAAATAAAATAAAAGGAAAAAGAAAGTTTTTTTTTATGTGGTGGGGGGAGATATAGAATGAAGTAGAAAAACACAAAAGTACCTTATATGCTGCATTAAGGAACTCCATCATTGCAGAAATTCCAGTGTTGAACCGTGTGCCCTCAATTTCCTCTGTTACCTGAATACTGAGATTAAACTCTTAGCTCAATTGTCTCAAATCTGCAAGTTAAATACAACCATAAAATGGAAACTATAAAACTCTGATTAAAAATTGAGATATTGACCTTGGCAATGCATCTATGAAGACAACGAAGTTGTTCAATAGTAGCCTCCTCATCAATTGATACAGTTCTATCCTTAAATGTGCCATCAGACAAAGGTAAACCAACAATCAGCCTCCAAGATCTTCCTAAAAACCGATGTACACCTTCAATGCCACTAGTACTCCATGTTTTTGAGTCTCTGGGAGCATGTTGAAAGGTAAAATCAATGAGAAAAGTAATGTAAGGTTGAAATCCACATTATAACAAGTACTGCAACTTCATAGTCCCAAACTCACCCAAAGAAACGAATAGAAAAATGGGGAGGGGGGGATAGAAACAGAAAGTAGTCTTAATTAAGGAGCAATCACTACAATATGCCATTAGAAATAAGGTTCGTGATCAAACCTACCTCAACGGTCCCATGAACATTTCATATAAACGAAGAGAATCTGCACCGTACTCAGAAACAACATCATCAGGATTAACAACATTTCCCTACTTTTACTCATTTTGTGAGCATGGGCAACTAAACGTATGTCAGGGTTTTCTTTCAGGTAAAAAGAATCCCCGGACTTCATCACCTACACTCAAGGAAAAAGAAAATAAATTCTTGTCAAGAGAAAAGAAAATTTAGGTTCAAAAGCTTAACTCTGACAGTTAACGGATGCATTGAGAAAGAAGTAGAATCTTAATTGAGAAACCTTTTCCTCAGGAATTCTGTCTAGATTATGTTCATTCAACATATCAGTTGAATAAGCAGAAGTCAGATTTCCATCTTGATCCCTACAAGCCGTATATTGAACCTGCCACATTACAAACTTGTTACAATTAGTTATTTACCCCCCCTAAATTTTCAAGCAGAAGAATAGACATTACCTCCCCAAGGATAATCCCCTGGTTTATGACACATTGGAAGGGCTCCTTGGTGGATACATCACCAATGTCGAAGAGGACCTGAGATATAAAACTTGAATTAAATCTGCACAAATATTGCATCAAAACCTGAGAAAATGTTAAAGGGAATTTAATGGCTTGTTGAACTCATTCCAACCCCTGATTGGTGGATTTCCCAAACCTTCAGTCAACAGTCAACCATGTCATCAATTATTTATTTAACTGCTAGAAGGATTATTTGATTTCCTTTTATGATTACTTTAATTACAATGAACACTTGCATTCCCTTCAGATACCATTTTGGGAAGTATACCCGATCATTGAAAGGTTGAAGCCTCAAAATAGCAAATGCCACAAAGAAAATAAATGCGCTCAAAATGTTTATGGCAGCTGCAACCCCGATATCTTGAAATGTAGCCATTTTCTCCCCCTTCTAGAAAGAATGCACGTCTTCCTGATATTAAAAGGAATGGATAAAGGGGGTTAGATTGATACACAACTAACTGCAACAAAACTCTAGGTGAAAATACCAAAAGATCATGCCTTGCCAATAAAATTTGTATTTAATCTCATACTTTAATAAACATAAGCATAACTTGAAATAAGAAATTGTTTATAACTAGATTCTCATCTCTTTTTGAATCCTCTTTCCATTTTCCCTTGCACCCTAAATTTTGGACACCCAAAAGGAAAATAATTTATCAAGCATTTCCTACAACAAATTTTACTCCGCTGGATCCAAAACAGAGACACAAAACAGAAAGTCCGTTTTTTTTGCAAAATTCATTTGGATGCAGAGGGGGGTAAAAGTCCTAACAGAAAAAGGAATATATATATATGGCACTTACTTCTTTTGCAAGCTTGTCAATTTCAGTGGTATAATAATCAATAGCATCCACTTTCTTTCCACGAAGACCAAGGAAACCAGTCTGGTAAAAACATATAAGAGGGAAAGGTTGTGGCAAATCTGAAGATAATTATGACAAAAATTTGAAGGCATACCAGATTAATCTCAAATACCTTCATTTCAGGTCTTTTTGAAGTTCGTTCAAGTTTATTTTGATAATAGACAAGCCAATTCTGCAACTTCTTCTTCTTTTTAACAACCTTTGCTAGTCTGTTTGCATCATAAACAACCTGCAGAAATGTCACAATAAATATGCTGACATACGCTTTTTTGCCTCTCAAAGTCCCAAATGAAAAGCGGAAAATTAATTTGGCATAATAAACAATGTAATTCACATTTCATATACATCATTTCAGAATCAACGAGACAACTAGTGAATTTACCATTGCAGTAAAAAATGAAACTATCAAAGCAGAAACCACCAAATGCTTCTTAAATTCTTAATATCAGAATCAATGAGATAATTAATACAGTGTATAAAGGAGGAACCAACCTGGTGAGTAAGATAGTTATCTGGATGATTGACCAGAAAAAATTGCTCCACAAGCTCACTTACAGATTCATCAGGATCTGGTGGAATGTTTCTAACGAGCACATGAAAATAATATCATTTCTATAAGCAAAATATGCATGATGTAATCTCTCACATATCTCAATGCTAACACGTGACAATTTAGCCTAAAATTGCAATTTCCCCCAACCTGCGAAGTACAAAGATGCTGAAGGATGGGAGAGCTCGTCTGTATTAAAACAACATTTTAGATTTGGGAAAAAAAAATTCCAAACGTGGCATTATGGTAAGTTTCTGTGAACAGTATGATATCTTGATCGTTGTCCCTACAGATTACATTACCAAACCAAAAGAATTTCAAATTAGATTAAATTGATCAACACTAGTCGATACTAAGCATTCACACGGTGTCTCAAAATCTTTCATAAGCTGTATCTCAAATCTTGTACACTTTTGAAAGAAATTTTTTTTTTGATATTGTCTGATTTAATACCTGTATTTTCTTTAATCAATAAAGAAAGAACACAAATAAGATTAGACATTTTTGAGTTAGGTTTGCTGATTTAATACCTGCATTCACACGGTGTTCTTTCTTTAATCAATAGTTAGGTTAGAAAACTTTGAGAAATTGTTAGCTAAAATGTAAATGTAACAAAAGTAATAACTCTATTATTACCAAAATTGTCTTATAAAATGCAAATGCAACAAATCCAACCACTATTATTACAAAAAGAATGAGAAAAGAATCACTCCATTGCGAGTGCACTTAAATACTCCAATCAGACGCTCTAGACTTAACAAAATTTTCCATCTGCATATTGTAACTATTCACAGCAACTGATAGTATCAGCCACTAGAAAAGCTTGAAGGTCTTTGACAGCTTGATCAACGGCATATACTATCATCTTCTTTATCTATTTCATCAAAGATAAAACTCCATCACCAAACATAAAAAAGGAAAATATTATATTCTATCCTATAACTTACTTATGAGGCTGACATTAATAAAGAGGAGAAGCAGAAGGAATTATATTTTAAAAGCAAATCACCTCAAGTTTATCTTCTCTAGCCTTGTGGTTCTTGGGAAGCTGACGGAACTCATTAGTTAAACGCAGACACTCATGAACATTTTCTGGGGACACGAAGTCTACAGCAACTTTTATGCATGACTGTGCAAGGTTTAGCGTATGTTGATTAGAGCTAAAGATATAACCAAATGATTTGACAGTAAAGTAATGGAAAGAGATGTTTTACCTTGAGGTTCCTCACTTGATGTGGGCATCCAGCAGGAATAAATACAGCCTCCCCAAGTTTCTGCTCAAAAGTCCAGGGTTCTACACCTAAAAGTCAAGATTCGCATAAATGGCTAATTCTAGACACCCAACAAGAAATGATATGCAATTCTATGTACTAACCAAACTCCTCCTTCAGCTTCTTCTTGTGCTCCAAAGTCAAATAAAAACATTGGTCATGAATTGGATGAAATACCTAACCAAAAAAGAATTTGGTTTGAGCATCTACGCATAAAAAATAAGGATAAGCAAAAATGTAAATCATCATCATACCTGTTCAACCGGAGAACAATAAGTATGTCTAAATTCTTTTGAGTGTTTTCTTAAATATGTTTCTAACTTTTCAATATCATCTCTCCTAAAGATATCCCATAGGGCACCACCTGTTTCCGTTGGTTCATTTTCTGGAGAAATAGCAGCAAAAATGACCCCCTCAGACACATCATTTTGAAATATCTTCCCATTAATTTCAAAAGGGCGCTTCTCCATATCTTTAGGTTCTAAGACTTCCTTATCTTTTATATGTTCTTTGTTGTTATTGCAAGGTCCACCATTCAGGCATTCACCAATCCTCTCCTGTGCACAATGTTCTTTCTCATCTTGTGCCTTGTGTGCTTCTTTCAACTTTGAAATAATAGAGAGCTGCTCATCACTTAATATCACCTCGGCCGTATGGGTCAAAATATTCACCTAAGACAATTATTATATGATAAATTAGAATAAAAAGTCAATATGATTCCATTTAAAATTTGACAAAGGATAAAGTTTCCAAACAAAGAACCAAGTATACACCTCAAAATCACATGCATGCAAAAAAAGAATATTTGCACAAACTGAAATTCTCCTCCACGTCAAATTACAGTTAACACTAAGTTCATCTATTCTTTAGGAACCAAATTTTTATTTCCGCCATCTTACAATAGTTATACATATTAAGAAACTACAACATCCAACCATATAAAAAGTGTGATCTGAAAGAGAAAGAAGACTGAATAGATATATAGCGAGCATATTCAACGAAGGAGAATAGGCCGAGTACTACTTCAGCAACCAAATTAACACCTAATGAAGCTTGAAGCATACCGCATCTGACATATCACAGTGAAGTTTTGTTACAGAGTCTCCTCTACCAAGTTCTTCTTTAATCCCATAAGCAATGTATGTTTTTGGACCCATGTCAGGTTTTAGGACATGGGCTGGCAACTTTACAGCAAGATTGACAATTCCAGCCCCAGGATCAGTGTACTCTTGAAATGGCAAGGAACGAATAAACTCATCACAATGGCGAGGCAAAAGATTTTCAAATTTATCAGAGGGGGGCCAGTCTTTTAGCTTGAGCATCTCTGGCCAGAGATTTTGATATGTTCTTCCCTCAGTATAACCTTTAAAAAACTTATGAGTATTAATTTCTACCTGCAAAGGTTTAAAAGGGTAAATGTTGGTCAGAATTCTAGCATACTGCAGGAAATACAAACTCAAAATATTACACAAGATTTAAGAAGATGAAATACTAAGATGGCAGTTGAAGCTCCACGGTATGTGGAATCTAAAGTATAAGAATAAAGACATGATGGAGGGCATTGCACATGGTAACATTGAAGTATCATAGTCAATATGACGTGCCTAATACATACCCAACTCAAATGTAGTTATCTTTTTTATAAATGATAAGTGGGGGAAATATAGGTATTAAAAGTATTCTTGGGGTACCTGGAAAAAAATTCCCAGACAAAACACAACAGAGGAGGGATTTGAAAAGAGGGAAAACTATAAATTTGGACATAATGTTCTAATTTGACCATATGTTCAAACCGAGAACCAAAAGGAACTGTAAGACCAAACCTCACAATTAGCCAGGCAATCAATGGCCTTAACTTCTGACATTCTTGAGCTGATTTCTGAAACTCTATTTTCACATAATACTCGCCGCATGACCATTGGCTCCCAGCTCAGACCTGTCCCCTGTTTAAGAATATCTCTAACTATAATTGGTTCACCATTAGTCCAATGCCTTTGAAAGAGTAATAATTCTTCTTTTAAAATGTCTCTTGACTCTGGACAGTATATGTTATTGTCGTTTGTGCCTTCTCCAAGTGCCACCCTTCTCATTTGTTCAATTTCCCAAATCTTCAACACATCACGAGCTTTTGCTTCCAAGTCAGATATCCACCCACGTTGAAGGATGCGCCTTAGCTCCAATTCAGAACTACCACAACCTCCTCCCTCCTTTGGAGCACAACTAACACTTCCATGACTTTTGGCATTCCACTTAGTAGATAGCTCAATATGTCCCTTTGAAGTCTCTACATCACAAGACACTGGTAGAGGGTCACCACCATGCATATAATCATAACCCCTATTCACGTATTGGAACTTCAGCTCATCCCGGGAAGTAATGCTTCCCTTGCGTATTTCTTGGCAACAAGTGAGACAGAGTTCATAAGAACACTCGGGGCACCTTCGGTGAAGGTCAACAATTGAAGTAGCACAATGGTCACTGCTCCAAGACCAAAAAATTAAAATAAAGATCTTAAACAACATGGGAAGAATCATGTTAGTTTCTTAAGAAAACGGACACTTACCAATAGACACGTTCATTGTCACCACAAAGACTTTGGTGTATCTCAATCTCACAAGAAGATTTTCCTGACAGAAGAGTTTATTGTTGGTGATTTCTTCAATGTAATAACAAAAAACCTAAAGGTGAAGATTAATACCTTGTATTTTAGCTTCAATATCCTCCTCTTGACATTGTTCATGACAAATTTGTTCAAGAAATGGAAGGAGTAAGTTAATCATATATTGCATATATTGAGCTTTCTCATAATCAGTGATGTCCCTGCTGGATGTCTATAAGTAAATATAAAAAAAATTGAAAAAGAGTTAGCAATATATGAAATTTTTGTTTCATTAAAAAAATTAATTTCAGGTGGACACTGCTGTAAGTTAAACCTTAATCATTCCTCTTGAACGCAAGCAAACATTGCAATTGCAGTTTTTACGGCAATATGGGCAGCTTTCAGCAATTTCTTCTATTGACATATTAGAGTACCTGTGTGCCAAAATTAGAAATAGCTCTATTTTGAAAGGGCATTCCATGAATTACATAAACAAATACATAAATCTTTTGCATTATTGATTAATTAGATGTTATGTAAACTTTCATACCATAGATTGATGCATCGCATACAGTACATTTTCAGACATTTAGTACAAGGCACAAAAGCTGTTCTCTCCTTTTTCATGCACTGATGACATTTCCGGGGATTTTGCTCGACATCCTGTTAACATAATTAGTTAAGCACAATAAAGTATATATAATATTCAAGCTATTGAAAAAATTGTCATAAGATCAAGCTTTTAACTATGGAAGTGAAAAAAATATGCATTGAGAAAGATAGTCACCATCATGTCATCCATTCTTTTAGCTCTGCTCCTGGTCTTTGTCTTTGAAAGAAAAAACATTTCTTCATCTTCTTCCAATTTGTTAATTAAGAAATCATCTTCAAATTTCCTTTTCTTGTTTGAGGTAGTAAGCTTCTTTGGCTCATCTCCTTTATTGGATGAAAATTTAGTGGTCCTTTTTGAACTTACCAGATTGTCTTCTTTGGGTTCTGACTTTGGTTTCGTGATATCAAGTTTATGAATCTCCTGAACCTTTCCCTTCTTTGACATTCTAAGAGGCCTAGAGCATTTAGAGAGTTTGTCCGGCTTATTATTGTTAGGTTGATTTGACTGTTCTCGTCTTGCAGCTGTAACCTCCATTCTTACAGCGGTACTGTTCTTTAAACGTCCCATATTTACTTGTTCCCCTTCAGGTTTTGGTTTCTTATTACCACGCTCATGAATTTCTTCAGCCTTTCTCTTTGAAGTTCCAAATTTTTTTGAGCATCTTGAGAACTCCAGCTTATCCTCATTATGTTGATTTGACTGGTCTCGTCTTGCAGCCGTAACCTCCATTCTTACAGCGGTACTGTTCTTTAAATGTCCCATATTTACTTGTTCTCCTTCAGGTTTTGGTTTCTTATTACCATGCTCATGAATTTCTTCAGCCTTTCTCTTTGAAGTTCCAAATTTTTTTGAGCATCTTGAGAACTCCAGCTTATCCTCATTATGTTGATTTGACTGGTCTTGTCTTGGATCCATTCTTACTGCGGAATGACATGGAAATACACTCAAATAGTTACAACAACAACAAAACTATCACCATTATCCGAAACTAATTGGATTAGGCATCTTTAAATAATTGCAAACATACAAAAATCACAACATAGATTATCACTCATTTAAGCATTGACATGCCAATCTTTTATAATAGCTGGAGTCTAAGCAACAAATACTGTCAGTATATAATATCAATCCTAAACCTATACATATTGCCATCAAGAGTTTACTACCACATTTATAAGCACAACAAAGGAAACTGAGTGTTAGAGAATAATATAAATTCATTAAAAAGGCCCTCACCTAACACCTTAAGGTTTTGGGTTGAAGTGGTTCTTTACATGGTATCAGAGTTTCAGTGACCATAAGGTCACGAGTTCGATCCTCATTGCCCCCCACTTTCTAGTGGAATTAAATAAAAAGCACAAAAAAGTAAACCAAAAGTTGGGCATGTGCAATATCCACGCTTCAAGCCCAAAGGGCTCTTGTGTGAGGGGGTGTGATAGAGAATAATATAAATTCATTAAAAAGGCCCTCACCTAACACCTTAAGGTTTTGGGTTGAAATGGTTCTTTACACTGAGAATCAAAGAAACATAGCCGTACTATAAGCCCAACAAAGCATTTTCTGTAAAACCACAATATAATTCAGAGTCACAACCGTCATGCTGAATCATTATGATAGCAGTTTCTGTAACGACATAAGAAGTAGACGTACCAAACTTAATAACCAGTTAAGAAAACAAGAAACTTGAAATGATAAGGTAACAAATTTGGACTATTTGATTGCCATGAGAAGCTGTGTCACGATTCATGAATGCAATATGATTTGGGGTAGTACTTTTCCCTTTTGGAAATAAATAGATACAATAAAATCCATCCCATCATAAATTTCAGCAAGAACTGAATATATATTGAAAAAATATTCTCCCTAGCTAGTTCCTTTGAGGGTGATACGAACCTCGGGAGAACATCATCCCAAAAGCTAGCTTGTAAGGTAAAAGAGCTCAAAGTTCATATAAACCGAACCTTATGTTGTCAATGTGGCATTTTAAATCTCATACCTTATAACTGGATCGTAACATCCCACCACGCTTTGCAACCCGGGCACCTACGCGGCCTGGTGCTAGTTTTTTACTAGCTCCCTGGGAAAATACTGCAATGTCAGCATCACCAATTCATAGTTTATACGAAACTTGGGAGAGCCTCACCCCAAAAGCTAGCTCGTAAGGTAGGAGGGCCCAAAGTTCATACAAAATTCCATACCATAATCTTATGTTTATGATGTGAGACTTCAAGTCTCATACCTTATAACTGAATCGTAACATAAGGAAATGAACCAATCAGGTTTTTTAAAGGGAAAATCCTAGTTCACAAGGCTCCCCGTCTTGCGATGGTAGAGGTGAGAGTTGATTGTCCGCTACCTAACCCTTGCATTTTTGCAAAGAAATTATTTCCTAGATTGGAACTGGTGACCCTCCGAAAAACCTGCTTCAAGACTTGCCCTCTAAAATACAAAAAAAAATAACATTTATCGAACATTCTTATACACATGGTTTACAGTGTAACATTTTGATCCACATGGTTCCTAATCCTAAACCTATACATACTACCAGCTTAAGTTTACTACCACATTTATAAGCACAGCAAAGGAAACATAACCGTACTATAAGCCCAACAAAGCATCTTTTGTGAAACCACAAGATAATTCAATGGCACAATGGTCGTGCTGAATCATTATGATAGCAGTTTCAGGGAACATCATAAGAAGTAGACGTACCAAACTTAATAACCAGTTAAGAAAACAAGAAACTTGGAATGAAAAGTGATCTAGAGTAATGGGTGAAAGTGGATGTTCAACCCAAGATGGGGAGAAGACGGTTTGTGTATGAGCCGAGCTAAGCTACTCGTATAGCGATGCTGTTACACTTCTGGTTTTCACAGGGATAATAATGTGGTAACAAAAGAAGAAAACAAAAGAAGAAAATAAAAGAATAAAAAAAGAGAGAGAGCAAAGGAAAGTATCAATTGAAGAACTACTATAGAGAGAAAACCTCTCCTAAAGGGCAATATGCTGTCAAAAAGCTATCTATCAATACAATATGTCTCAATTATATACTAACTTTCTAGACTTCACAGTAAACCTCTAACCTATGAAGCACCGATACCTACACGAGATATGTGATACAATACGACACGATATTCCGACACGTTAATTCTAAAAAGTGTTAGATTTCGACACGTTAAGACACGTTTTGATAATAAATAATATTTTTAATTTATGTTGCGTATAATATATTTAATATTCAATAATTTAATAAAAAAATAAAACTAAACTGATAATACGAATTAATTTTGCAAAGAAACATAAAATATCATAAATATTTATATTAAATTCAATAAAATGGTAATAGTGATCCAACAATGATATTGGGCCACATGGGCCAAAAGCCCTTTGGGTTAGGGCTAGCCCGTGGGCCTTCAAAAATTTAATGTGTATTTTTGTTTCAATAATAAACAGAATTATATTATCATAAACAAATTATACTCAAAAAGAGGATGTTACAATCTGACTCTATCCAAAAGGAAATAACAGTTAAAAGCAATAACACCATAACAGGAATATTAATAAACAGGTGATAAAACTCAATGCCTTATAGGCCCTAGACCACAACACCAAAAGGTTTAGCTATTCAAAAATAAGTGGTCCGCATATAACATAAAAATTTCTGCTTTTCTCTGTATATAGAACTCATATCGACCCTTTACACACCGCAAGTTGGGAAGATGAGACATATGAGGAAACATAATCTCCACAACAAGATTTCACACACACTCATCCAGATTAATAAGTTCATTTGAATTTGGAACACATCATTGGTACAAAATTGAAATCAAACATTCTTAATTCCAAGCTAAAACAATTGAAGCCATTAGGATAAAAAAATACTATGCACAATGCCAGGTAGTATTTTATTTAGGGCAATTGAAACTAGTTCCCCACCCCTTACAAATAATAAATAAATAGCAAATACGATTAATTCTTTACATATAAAAAACCCATAACTCAAACATGATAAATCTAAGCAACAAAAAAAGAGAGACAAAAACCCAGATAAAATTGAATCTTATAAGATAGAGAAAGTGGCATCAGCAGTACTCATAATAAGCAATTAGAAACTTAAAAAAAAAAACCCAAAATTGAAAACCACCATATCCTTGTCATTTTTGTTTCAAGTTCTCATCTTTATACTACAAAAATGGGAAATGGAAAAGCTGCAGTGAATAGTGGTGTACCCATTTGTCTGGTGATTCTTCTCTCATCCATCTCAGAAACAGAAGCAGATGAACCATAAATGGGGTGGGAATAATTTAAAGATAAAAAAATAAAAATAAAAATTGTCTTACCAATCAACACAGAGCTCGAGGTTTTTGTAAGCTAAATCAGGAAAAGCAGGAAGTAACAGACCGAAAGCCAGTAATTTTTGTTTTCCTTTTTCTGATTCATAGGATGTTTTGGTTTAATAAATCAAATTTAAGAAACTAAAGACAAATGGAAAAAAATGCTATAGTTAGAGAAATTGGAAAATACTTACAACAGAGAGCATGAAGCAAAGGTGGATTTGAACTAGAATTTTGAGCATTTCATTTTCATTCATTAAGGGTCAGGTTTTCCATTAACAGTAACACAGAATGCTGAACCTGAACGTACACCTAGTACTACCCATGAACCTCTCTTCCCCTGTCTCTCACACTCACACACACAAAGTTTCCATTAACGGAATTTTAATATTTTTTTCTCACAAATTTTTCTTTGTTGACATTACTACTTTTCTCTGAAGTGTATTTGTTTATTTAAATTAACAAAGAAAGCAAACATGGTATGGGTTGGAAAGTTTTCTGATAGCTTTCACACATCACATATAACAAATAGCAAGGGAACAAACAATACATGAGACAAACATAAGAGCAAAAGGGGAAGTGCCAATGGAAAATTAGGTAAAAATTAAGTATGTACCCGAGAAAATTTTCGATTCCTATCAACCTCTGCCAGGAACAGAAGCTGTTGTTTTGCTGTGGCTACGAGGTCTTGGCTTAAGACGATATTAGGGTTTGATGGAAAGGAGAAGACAAAAGGTTTGATATATTATAGAAATCTAAATAATCTGTAAAAAGGTTCTTAGAGAATATTTGGCCTAATTTTGACCTAGTGGGCTTGGTCCAATACAACAAATAAATGATTAAATAATAACTAAATAATTAATATTTACAACACTTATATAACTTAAAAAGCTTTTGTTTTTTTGGCTTTTTTCTTCACTATAAAAAAGGGATCGATTTATCTTATATTGTATGAGATAATTATTTCATGTGCAACAGAGACAACATAGTGGGATTCACTGTTTTTTATAAGAAAAAAAAAAAAATAGTGAACTCCACTACTTTATCTCTGTTGCATGAGATAATTATCTAATGTAACATGAGATAATTATTTCTCATAAAAAAATCCTCTTTATTATAAAAGTTTTTGTAAAAACATGTTTGCTCTCATTTCTACTTATAAGGATAAAAGAAGCTAAAAAAAAGATTTCCCCAAAAGGCACTTAGCTCGTATCATTGTAGATCTCCCCCCTCCTCATATTACAGCCTATCATAGTAAAGAAATGTTTCGGAGAGTGCAAAGAACAATCAAATCTCCGAGCTCTGCAGGATTGTTTTGCCCCAGTGTAGTTGCCTCCTTCACCGACCCCAGAGCTTGGGACTGAAAATGAGGCCTCTCAAGGGCATAGAAAGCAACCTTAGCTTGCCTTCCCACCCTTTAAATGCTCATTCAAGTCCTGAGCATTACTGATTGCCTTCTGTACATGGCCCACTCCAATAATGATGTAAGACCATTTGGTTGTTCATGTTTGTTCAACCACTGCACTTTGTCCTTCTGTCCTTGGGAGATTCCAAGCACTGTCCTTCTGTCCCTCTGCACTTTGACATAAAGCTAGAGAGTTCCAACGATCAATCCGATGGTGTACTATAGGCATCCACTCCTTAAATTGATTTGCAAGGCAAAACATTTTCCTAAGAATCATTAAAAGCAGCATTGCCCCTTCTAGATTACTTCTTTGGCAGATAAGACCCATCAATCTGAACTCTAGGTGGACTTGCCTCCACCAGTAGTAATAAAGGGACTGAAGTATTTCCATTCAGCATTGTGCCGGATATGGAATTCAAGTTGATGCTTTTACAAAAAAAAGATCAAACATTGAATGGGCAGCTGTCCTACTTAGGCCTAAGACACTCATCCAATACAATAAGATAACAAATCTGGACTAATTGATTAGCATGAGAAGTTATATCATATTCATGAATGCAAATTTTGGGGAGCAAAAGATTAAGAGAATGTGACATATTAATTCCTAATTAACATATTCATTTTTATGGGAAGAGTTGTTCGTAAATGTGTTATAATTATTAAACATGGTTAGTTGAGGATGTTTGAGAGGAGAAATTATATGTGGTTACTTTATACTTTAATTTTCTTTTTTATATATTTATTTCTTTTACAGTATACTATACGTGGTTACTATATATGAATTTCTTTTATCCCAATAAAAACTATATATGTTTGCGGCCCTACGTTATAATTTTTTATATATATTTAAGTATTTTTAATATATAAAATTTAGATTTTTATGTACTAACCCACGGTTCAAACAGTAACCTATATTTTCATATAAGTTGATCTTGTGATCCTGTAACCCAGTATTGCCGTCGGGTCAGATAACATTGGTTTCATCCCTTTAAAAAAATGTTACCACTACCACGTGACTAGACCTGGCAGGCCACGTGAAACGGTTTCATCCGTATTAAAAAATGGACCCCTGCCACATGGCTACCCTGATTAAAGGCGTTTTACATAACGTTTTATAAAGTGTCGCCTCGACTAACGCCGTTCGTTCCTTTCGATGACCGGAACTGAGTTGACTCGAGTCAACCCAACGCGGTTAATCAAGAACACCTAAAACGCTAAAAAGAAAATTGCCAAAAACGAACAAACAGAAAACAAACAGGAATTCCGATTGCATCCATTCTAACACACGAATCACAGAACGAAATCAAGATTAAACAAAGTTCCAAAATCTTTTGCATGTTCCTTGAATGGCATAAGAATAAAAAAAAAAAAAAAAAAAAAAACAGAATTTCAGAATTCTTACGCAAAAAAGACGAGAGGGGCGCAGACGAAAATCAATTGAAGCCGACGATCTGATCACGAAAGCTTTTCAGCTCGAGACTCGATGACAATACTGTAAAACAGAATCAATGCCGTTAGATATATCTGAAAGCGGAATTTAGAGAACAAAGGAAAAAGAGAGAAACAAACACGTGACTCGACTCCTCCACTCCACCGTTTAGTTGAGGTTGAAAAGAGTCAGCGATCAATGCCTCTGCCTATTTTCGAATTGACAATTTTTCGTTTTCGGATTGCGTGTTTTATATACATATATTAAAAAAGGATCTTTTCGCAGGTAATATCTATTTTCATGTAATTCTATTAATTATAATGTATGGATATTTTATAAAAATAAAAAATAAACATATATTATCACGTTGTGTTGTGTTGACGATTTTCAAATTTTAGGATTCTAAATCTTGCTAACAATAAGTCAATAACCACTTAAATCCAAGCAAGTATCCTTGTATCCCGTAAATATTGCCTTGTTTTGGTCCTTTTCAAATTTTCTAAACCTTTTACTTTAACCACTTAAATTCAACCACGTGGACCACGATGAAATTCCGGATCCCCCTTTGTCAGTAATTTTTTTTTAACTCTTTATAGTATATCAATCTCCACTAAAATCAAAATTATGTAGATTACTTATGCTAAATAAAATAAGTAGAGTAAAACTAATTAGATTATTTGTGAGTTTTTTTTTTATATCTTCGCCCGTTTATCAATTATTCACTCAAGTGAAATATATTACAATGTCGAATATCAAAAAAAAATTGAAAATTTATCCAATTGCCTCCAAGAGAGTAATAAGTATATTTCCATATTGCCCCAATTTTGTATATGAATGGTGGAATCTATGTAGCACCGATACGACACGCGACACGTGACACGATACGACACGACACTCCGACACGTCAATCTTAAAAAATTATGGATTTCGACACGTTGGGACACGTTTTAATATTAAATAATATTTTTAATTTATATAGTGTATATTTCATTTAATATTTAATAATTTAACAAAAAAATGAAACAAAATTAATAATACCCATTAACATGTTATAAAGATGGAAGCTTTAATAAAAAAATAAGAACTGGGATGAGATATATATATAATATCAGATAGAGAGATCAAATCATATTAGAGAGAAGAAGATACAACAAGAGCGTGATAGGAATTTACAACAATGATGCTGAGATGATCTCTTATCTACTTAAGGGGAAAAAAGACAAAAGATAAAATTGATATGATCAGGTGGAAGCTTTATTAATATATTTTAACTTTTTAAAAAAATAAATTTTTTTAAAAAAAATAAAATAAAAATTAAAAAAAAATTACGAAAATGCCATTTGACCGTGTCGGACACGGTCAAATTCGCGTGTCGGAATGGTCAACGTGTCGAAAAAAGTCAATCGCGTGTCCGACACCGTGTCGGAGCGTGTCGGAGCGTGTCGCCATGTCGGAGCGTGTCGGACCCGACTCTTCCTGTTTTTACAAGTGTCCGTGCTTCCTTGGGTGGAATATGGTAGAAACCTGATTTTTATAGTCAACATATAGATTCCATGACTTTTTTTTTTTTTTTTTTTGGAGATTACAAGAATCGAATACAGACGCACACTCACACACACTCTATTCCAACTTTGGATTCCATGACTTTTTTAAAAGGGGATTCCAATTTATACCTGATTTTTTATGCATATTGTGTGTTAAAAATAATTTTTTAATTTTTAATTTTATTAATTTTTTTAATTTTAATATATGAAAAAGAAATTATTAAAAATAATATTTAATAAACAATATTTTTAATAAATAGTGTGTGTTAAATGCTGATGTTTGTGTTTAATACATAGTGTGTCAGTAAAACAAAATGAATAAAAAAATACTTCTTATTTCTGCCCATTTATATTCCCAAGCGACTGGTTCAATTTTGGAATAGAAAAATAAATCAATTTTGTCAATTACTATTTCTAACCATTTCTATTTCATAATTAAAAATAAAGAAATTGTTTTTCTTAAAATGTTTTCATGCACTCCCTTAATACAATTTATATGAGAATTTATCAAATTAGTCAATTGTTCTTTTTACTTTTGTAAATAAATAATCAATAAGAGTTATTCATAGCATACATTTTTATGATAAAATACATAAGTGAGTAATTAGTACTAACATATTAATTAAAAATTAATGTTCAAAGGAGAAAATTTCCAAATCCCCTTTTATAATAGTAAAATGCTTTAATATAAGTTGGGTCAGATGATTGAAGTGTTCGAAATCAATCATGTCTAATTACAATTAAAGATTTTGAACCAAAAAAATCAGTAATGAAATAAAAGGTTCATTTTTAAAGTATTTTAGATAATTTTGTTTAATATTTATCAAAATGATATCATTTTGGGCTAAAAATTAAGGTATATTTATAATTAATTTATTTCAGAGTTATAATACTTAAGATAATTTTGTCTAATATTCACTAAAATGACGTCATTTCGATAAATATTAGATAAAACTATCTAAAGTAACATTAGATACTTTTTTCCCTTCAATAAATTGAAAATATCAAAAACTGCTTTTTTTTGTACTGGATTGAATATATTTTTAGTTCCGATTTTAAAAATTGATCGAATCCAAACTAAAACAAATTTATACTTTCATATAATTTCATTTATCAATTCACCATATCACCCAAAGTACGTACGTGTATATTTACTTTCCTATTTATTTATGAAATTACCTTACAACTCATACTTATTTATAAATAAATAAAAAATACATTTGAGTAAAGATAGATTTTTTAGTCAACATATACACAGATAACCTTAAGGAAATAAATGCACTAAAAAAAAAATATGACATGGTCATATGGGAAGATTACAATAATATAAAAATAAATCAATGATTTTGATTTTGTAACTATCAATTTCAATATTTTTTCTCACTCATTTTATTATCATTGATCTACTTTTATATGATTATAATTCACATGAATATGTCATATTTTTTTTAACGTGAGAGGATCCATATCCTATTTCAAGATTTATTTACTGTCTCATAATAGTAAAAAAAAAAAAAAAACTGACAAAATTGGAAAACTGACTCAATCTATAGTGCTTTTTTTTTTTTTATAATAATAGTGCTTTAAATTAGACTGGATTTGATTTGAATTTAAAATCAAACTAATTAGATTGCAAAATAAAAAGAAACCAATTGGACTGGATGAATGAGAGAGTATAAAGTTTTCTTTACAAGGGCTTGTCCAAACAAACCTTTGATTATAGAATTAAAGTCAATTTATAGCTTTCATAATTAATTAGTATAATCATAATTTGAACTAGTCATGAAATCAGTTACTCATTGACCGCTAAATCAATATCTTGAAGTCATATATTTAATTTTTTTTAAATATTTTATTTTGAAAAATTAATGTAAAATCAATTATTATCTCAATTTAAAAAAATTAAAGGATAAGCTTAATTGCACATAGTAAAAGAATTACTAAAAAAAGAGATGCAACAAAAAGTTATGAAAAAAATTAGTATCGCATTTTTAACTATTTTATCTCAAATTCTATTTGAATAAAAATAAGTTTTTAAAATATAAACGTTTATTAAATATTTTATATTTAAAACTTACGAGTCTACGTAATTGAGTTAATGAAAGAAAATTTTCAGAAAAAATAAAAAAAAGGGATATAGAAAGCTCTGTTGGAGGAGGGCACACCTTACCTGTTATTTTGCACTTGTACAGCTTCTCCTGACCGGCAGTTGAGTTTATGGCACATATAAGTAAATAACGTTTTACTTGTACCAAAAAAAGAGAGTACATGACGTCTTTTTTTTTTTTTTTTTTATAAACACAAAACCTAAGCCACGAAATAAAGAAAGAACACAAAAAAAAACCTAACTATTGCAACTTAAAGTACGAGATCTCCCAAAAACTGACAGATCAGCAAACAATAGTAACATGCCCGGAGGAGGTTCCTGCCAAATAAGATTGTCTTCTTGCCCCTTATAGTTTAATATGAAATTCGTCAACCAGTTTTTATCAATTGATGTTTGTATGCGATAAATCAAATGATTCTCACGAACAGCTGCACCATTTCTAGTGATCACACTTGTTGAATCACTTTCAATAATGATGTTACGGTATCCAACATTCCAAGTCATCTCCAATTCCCTAAGGACACTCCATAATTCTGCTTTGAACGAAGAACACCTCCCTAATTTATACGCAAAGCCACCAAGCCACCTACCACACTCATCACGAAAGACACCCCCACAAGAAACTGAACCAGGGTTACCACGCATAGCCCCATCCATATTAACCTTAATAGTACCAAAATTAAAAAACTGCCAAGATATGTCCACTACCATGATTCTTCTTTCAGAAGCCAAATTTGTACATTTGTTTACATCATCTTCCACAACCTTTGCAAGATTTCGTAAATAATATACAAATAATTATTAACCTTAACGTTTTAATAATTAAATAATATACAAATACTATCGGCTATTTGACCATTTTGTCCTTTATTAATTAATTAATAACCACTTTGCCCCTTATTCAAAATTATCTATTAATTTGCCCATCTTTAATCGATTAACTTGAAGATTTAATCGATTAAATGGTCAAAACTGGAAAAAAATAGTTGACTTGAAGATTTAATCGATTAAATCTTCAACTTAATCGATTAAATCTCCCTCTTAATTGATTTAATCGATTAAAACATATTTAATCGATTAAATATCCCGAATGAGCGTGAAAGCATTGATTGAATGAGACAAACACAGTATTGGAGATTATTTGATTGCGTCCTATTAAATACAAAACGCAATCAACTCCAGCTCCTATTAAATTCAAAACGCAATCAGATCAGTTTTCCATTTGAATTTTGTATTTAATAGGAGCTGATTGCGTCCTATTAAATACAAAACGCAATCAGCTCTTATTACATTATATTCAAATTCAAATTCAAAATTCAATCAGTTTTCCATTTGAATTTTGTATTTAATAGGAGCTGATTGCGTCCTATTAAATACAAAACGCAATCAGCTCTTGTTACATTATATTCAAATTCAAATTCAAAATTCAATCAGTTTTCCATTTGAATTTTGTATTTAATAGGAGCTGATTGCGTTTTGTATTTAACATGAGGCAATCAGCTCCTATTAAATACAAATCGCAATTAACTCCTATTACATTAAA